TCCCAAAAATTACGGCCAGAAAAGACTGGTTTTGTTTATACTTTATTTCAAAATCAGAGTAATCTTTTAATAAAAGAGTTGCGGAATTTGTCCCAAAACAATATTATGAAAAAGATTTATCAAAAGCATTTCCGTAGAAATGTATTTCATTAAAAAGACTCGGGATGTCATGTTCGATACAGTACATAAGTATAAACAATACAACATAGGCCTTACTACATTATTCCGTATTTACAGGCCTAAAATCCATTAATCTCTCATTCCAAGACATCACATCTATGCTCATGCGCCACATCCTGTAATACAAGAAACTGAGTGGGTCAGGCTTGGGAGCCTGGTGAGCACATAGGGTTTTCAACCCACAATAAATAAGTTTATTAACTTTATTAAATTAAACAAACCCGATTACCCGTTCCCGTTATCCTCACATTACGTCCCTAAGCATCTATCATAAGGGACCTATCCTAAGGATTATCATTGGGATGGACATTACTGCTAAGGGGATTCCTTAGCAACAAATGTCCTTAAGGAAACCATGTGGGGGATGGAGTACATCTGGTGAGCACACAGTTCAAATAAACACACAGTTCAAATAAACACACAGTTCAAATAAACACACAGTTCGAATAAACACCTACAGGTTGCGAGCCTGCTAGTGTTCCACTGGACTGTCTAGAATAGTCCGTGGTCGTCATCTATACTCCACTAGATGACTAGATCATCAATAACATCTATAACGAGGCCTCTCATTATTTTATTTTGTCACACAGCAACTATTACATCTACCTATGTTTTACCCAACACATTTTGTAGATATAAAATACATATACAGTTTAAATCTTTGAAAACATTTATAAAACGTTCAACCAACATAGATAGCAAGTATTCAGATAATATGCACACATAGCACGTAATTTATATTAAATACTTCATATCTATGTGTAAGCTGAAAGTAACTATGCACTCACATGAGAAGGTGGTGACTCGGTACTCGGACAACGCTTCGTTTACTTTAAAATAATTTCCTTCGACGAAACCTAGTATTATCACCAATGGATTTTAGTCTATTATTCGCCGAGACTAATTAATAGTCTAGCTATTATTACTATTATATAAGCGTAAAACAAATACTTATATAACCCATAATAATAGCCCAAGTATTTATTATATGTTCTTAATAACGTTAATATAATTAAATAAAAACTATATTAAAAATAGCGTAGGCGTAGCTCACTTACAACGGGTTTTATAGAAAACCAAGATTTGCTTGGAGCAGCGTTTCCGAGCCGAAAAGCTCTTCTTCTCGGAGCCGTCGAGCACTCAGGGGCTTCCGCCTCGTGCTAGGGAGGTTCCCTAGGCTTTTCGGGGGATTTCGGGGCTAGAGAGAGGTTCTAGAGAGAGAGAGAGTAAAGAGAAGAAAGAATGGGAAAGATGTGAAGAAAATGAGGGTAGGAGAGGTGGTATTTATAGGGTGAAAATGGCTGAACTTGGTGCCACATGTCACCATCTAGTGGCAAGACTTGGGGAGAAAGCAATGGCCAAGATTGTGCCACATCACCCATTTTCGCACAGCATACTTCCGACTTCTAAAATCCGTAACTTTCACATACGACCTTTGTTTTTGACGTTCTTTATATCCACGCGTAGGTAAATATAATATCTACAACTTTCATTTTGACTCCATTGGCTAATTCTCGACCGATCTTAAATTTAACAGTACGAGGCGTTTAGACTGTTAAATGACCGTGAAGAATTCGTAACTCCTTCATACGGACTCCGTTTTCGTCTGTCTTTTTACCGTTGAGTTCCTATTAATGAGATATTCAACTCTCATTTAGGTCGCATAAGCCAAAAACCGCTCGAACTAAAATTCGAGTTTCGGGCTGTACACTACTAAGGCGAATCTTAGAAAAATCATAACTTCTTCATACGAAGTCAGATTTGGGCGTTCTTTTTATGGATTTTCTCGGTTTAACATATTCTACGACTTTTGTTTAGATCACTAAGGCTAAATCTCGCTCTATCATAAATTCAATTTTTACGCTTCCCGGTGTCGTGTCGGTTCCGTCGCGAAACTTCGACGAGTCATAACTTCTTCGTTATAACTCAGATTTCGGTGTTCTTTATATGTACGGACACCTTGTGACATATAATACAACTTGGTTCAAATTATTTATTCTAAATTATATTTTGTCGAAAAGTCATTTTCAACCCCTATTATCTCTAAATTGACTAGCCCGGATCTACGGGCGTTACATTAAATAGTAAAACCCTAATAATTAATCACGGGTGGATAGTCCTAACCCGGATACACAACAGACTAAATAAAAGGCCCAAAAGACATAACACTAAATACTCAACAATCTCCCCATTTGCATCGATTGAGGCGAGAGTCCTTCACTGCTGAGTTTGATTCTTTACTTCAAATACTTTCGGAATCACGCCAAAAAGAACCTTGCGAACTTGGATATACCATTGAATCAAATCCGAAAATCACTTCTTGTCACCTTTGTTGTTACTCTTGTGCTTGTTGACGAAGTCCAAGAAATATTACCTCTACGAAGTGGTGAATAAATGTTTGTTGTCAAGAAAGAAACAACCTTTGTGAAAGTCTGCATCAGTTTGCTCCTTCAATTGAAAAGCTACACACCATCCATCCTTTTGTATCTTCCCAAGTTTCATTTTGTCAAAACCGTCAAGGTTATCTTTGGGGAGTACTCTTGGCTTCCTTCGCAGTACTGTAGCAATCTCAACATCCATCTGGGCAACTTAATGAATGTATGAAATTATCATCTGCTTAAGGTGAGCAAGAACGGGCTCATATTTCTGTCCATCCCTTAGCAACAAGTTGTATAACATGATCCAATCATATGGATTCAGGTATGGGAGATCGGCAAGAGTAAAATCATGCAACCGACTTATTGAACCTCTAACAACCTTGAATTTTGTATTTGGTAATGTATCGGTTTCATGTGGATCAGTGACCTTCACAATTATGACAACCATCAATTTCCAATCAAGTAAAAGTCAACCGGTCAAATCGGTCAACTCCTTCAACCTGTGTACACTAGGGTTCACTTTATGTAATTACTAGACAACTCACTATTTTAATAAGAAATCATCACTTGAAAAGTTTGTATTTTTAGATTTCTTAAACCCTAATCGGGGTAAGTGAGGTAGCAAAGCGATAAAACACTATTACATACCCTTTCGGGGGTGTTTAAGACTCTTAAACATGGCTAAACGGGGTTGCGGACCTTGAGTTGCAAAGCTAAACACTAAAAAAGGTCACAAACTAAGTCTCTCTCAATTCCTCTTTATCAATCTCTATCTCTCCCAAATCTCTCAGAGTATGTGAAATCTCTCCTAAAACTCTCCAAGTATTTGAAATCTCTCCCAAATCTCTCCAAGTATGTGAAACCTCTCCCAAATCTCTTTAAGTATGTAAAACCTCTCCCAAATCTCTCCAAGTATGTGAAATCCCTCGCAAATCTCTCCAAGTATGTGAAACCTCTCCTAAATCTCCTCAAGTATGTGAAACCTCTCCTAAATCTCTTCAACTATGTGAAATCTCTCCCAAATCTCTCCAAGTATGAGAATCTCTCCCAAATCTCTCTCAACATTTTATAGTCATCCGAGTCATCCTGACCCTTAACTTGGTCAAAAATCACTCGAAAACGGAAGTTTACGCGAGAAACAGCTTTAAGGAGCTGAACCCTGTTAGGGTCGAACCTCTTAGGAGCCGAACCTCCCCTGAACCGAGAAGCAGCCAAAGCCGAACCTCCTTGATCAGCCGAGACCGAACCTCGCAGGGAGCACCGAGACCGAGCCTCGCCTTCTGTTCCCTCCCTTCCTATGCACCTTCGGTTCTTCTTTCCTTCTCTATCGGTTCCCCTCCTATGACCGTGACCTCCCTTCGGCTCCCTCCTACTTTCGGCTCCAATCATAAGGGACCGAACCTCCGGCCCTGATCTCGGATTTTCGCATATTTCCCCGGTTTTTGACCATTTTCACGTTTTAAGTCTGTTTTTCGTGATTTTAACGCGGGATTTTCACCCAAACTCATATTTTAACATAATAAACCCTAAATATTCATATTTTAATTATATTTTGGGGAAAATACTTGCCTAACAATAACATCTAGTGGGTAAGATTTATGGGTGGAGTGTTGACTTTACCTTAGTGTGTAACACAAGCAACCTCCCACTTACCTTCATGGTACAATCCTCAATCACTATTCCCCTACCTAGTCAACTATTTGTCCTTTGACACCCCCTCCAGCTGTAAAGGTACACCAAAGGCTGAAAATCTCCTCTCTCCTCTCATTTCACTCATTTTCCACCAAAGAGCAAACACTTTTCTCTCTCACTTTCCTCTCCAAATTGTAGAATTCTCCTAGAGTTCAAAGGCTTCTCGTACACCTTGGTAATTAAATCTCTTCCTATACTTGATTTCCTTACACTTCTTCACTCAAATCATGAGTTCCTTACACAAATATTGTCATTTTTGTTGTTAGATCTTCGAATCTTCAAGCATTATCTAAGTGTTCTTGAGTTGAACACTTCTTTTCTTCACCATCCATCTTCTGAAATCACTCAAGGTGAGTTCATACCCATATATTTTCATGTTTTCTCAAGTTTCAAAGGGGGGGGGGGACTACAAGTTAAAACACCAAGAACATAACTAAACTCATCCAACAGCTTTCATCAGAAAAGTTTAACTCCATTCACGGACTATTTTGGTCAACTTAAACATTTTAGTTTTCAAAACTGTATTAGATCCAAATGGTTCAGGTTTATACCTTTAAAATGAATACTTGCATATGTCCATACGATTTTTCTACAATTTATGGCGATTTTTACAAAACTGCCTATCACTGTAGCTACGAATTCGGACCAGTCTATGAATATGGACACTTTCACACAAGTTAGAGACATGAAGTCCTCCACCCTCAAATGGTTCTGCCATCTTTGGTTTGGGGGTGTGACAATAACCATAATTTAGCTTGCACTCCATGTCTCATACTGCAGGTTCATATGCTTAAGGTAGAACAAGAAAAGCAAGTGGTCTGCAACACTGTCTGTTGCTAGGACATTCACAAATTTCACAAAACTACAAAAATGGAAGGCTTTCAGAGTAATTGGAAGGTCCAGCTGCGAATCTTGTCTATTCAGAAGATCGAATGACATAACTGGTTCCAACCAATACTGACTTGGCATATCCACAACTTTACTTAGAATACACTCAAGGTCCATATTGGAAACAAGTTCTTTCGGCTTTCCAGCATGACCTGAGCTTCACGTTCGAATATTTCTTTCTTATTAGCCTCACGAATAATTCTTTGGTGCTCATCCATCTGAGCTCCACGATCTTTTCTTCTTTTTAGCTCATGTTCTTCAAGCTCTTCATCTTCACTGTTATCAATAATTGGTTCTTCACTGATCAACTTCTCTTTGCCTTTTGGTTCATTTTCTCTTTTGGGCATGATAGTGGGCTTGAGCTTTTCAGAATTAAGCTTGATTCTAGAACACCTTCCAGTCGATTGAGCATCACAAACACTGGCCTGAGCTTTTCGGAGAGATGCTTCTTAACTGTTATCGTGATCATCGAGTCACGAGTCTCATTGATGTCCGAAAGCAGTGCATTCACATCTGCTACACAACTTTTCATAACGGCCTTTTCGAACAGCAGGTTATTGATTCATTTCTATACATGCTCTAGCTTGACTGTTAAGACTTTCACATTTTCTGTCTTCACAGCAAGAGCAACCATTATTTTGATCTCACTTGCCAAGTCATCTTGAAGCTGCGTGATCTTCGATGAAAATGAGGAATTGAGCTCGACATTGTCTTTTTGAATACCAGTGTGAACCTCTTCGAGTTTCACTTTCTCCGTTTTAAGTGTGGAGCCAAGGCCATAAATAACTTCATTGGCCTTCGTTGTGTTGAACTCGAAGGAGGTTTGAAATTTCTCTATGAACAAAAGAGCATCGGTAATTAGTTTATTGACTTTTTCGGTCGTTGTGTTGCACACTGAAGTAGAAGTATCTACCGCTTTGTTCGTTTTCTCCAGATTAGCCGAGTGTTCTTTTGTAAGGGTCTGGAGGAGGGACATCATCGTAGCTTGTGAATACTCATCACTGGATGATGCTTTAGAAGCTTGGAGCAACGAGTCCAGTTTCTCATTAATCGTCTTGAGTTGCCCTCTTGTAACAGGAGCTTTGTCATCAATTTCAGTCCGAATGTTAGAGGGACTGTAGGTGAATCCTGTGAAGTCGTCATTATCATCACCATAGATCGTATCTGGATCATCCTGGCAGAAAGGAAAGATAGGTGGAGTGGAATGACCAACTATGAATCCTAAAGCACTCCCCCCGCATCAGATGCGTTGACAGTTACTGGAGGATCAACAGTGCCCGACAGGATATTAACGATAGAAAAATCCGTCAGTAATAGAGACAAAATACCAAAACAGATTTAGAGAAATCTAAGTGTGCCATTCTAGAGACGGTTCTGTGACGGATTTGCAACAAAATACATTATCGTTGGTAATCTGTTACACATTACCGACAGTTTACCGACGGAAACCAACAAATTTATTTAATGTCAGTAATCTGTTGGTAAAATTAAGATTTTTTTTTTCTTTTTAAAATATTAGGGGTAACTTGGTAAGTATGCAAATGATTTAGGTTCTCTTAATCAATCTTCATCGTGTTAGGGATGCACCAAAAAATAGCTCCCTTTCTCTCTCTGTAAACTGACGACTAACAAATGCATCGCCTGCCCACCACTACTCTTATGCTCTTGCTACAGCCGACGCCCTCGAAGAAGTCGATCTTGAAGGAGTCGCTACTCAGTTGTTAATCCTAATAAAGAACAACTGTTAACTGAATCCTACAAATTCACTCTCAGGGTAAATCAAATACAATCAATCAACGAATCATCATTTTTCACTTCATTAAGATAGAAATTGTCAATAACGATGTACATCTTGAGTTTTATCATGCATTTTCTTTATTCTATAGAGAATTCCGATGTTATAGAGTTTTGAACTTTGATTAATTATAAGCAGAGATGTCGATTTTCGTTTCTAGGTTTTGCAGTTTCATGTTTCTATGTTCAATTTTCTTCAATTTTTTGCGAATTTTGGATGAAGGTAAGTTCGATCTGATTGAACTTTTTGAAACTAAGGTGACTTCGGAGTACGGGAACTCCTATCACTATGCCGATAATATACAGTCAGACAATTTGCATTTCTGGCTGCTGGGGCAGAGAATTACATGGCATTCTTTTTGGCTATCGATCAAACATCATGCCATTAAAA